CTGGCCAGACTTATCAAAAAGAAAAGAGAAATGACCCAAATAAATAAAATCATGAATGAAAGAGGAGAGATCACAACCAACACCAAAGAAATACAAACAGTTATAAGAACATATTATGAGCAACTATATGAAACAAACTGAGGGTTTTGGAGGGGAGGAGGTGGGGGGATGGGTTAGCCCAGATTTTGAACAGTTGTGTTTTCTTTTCATTGGTTTCCATGAATTTTGTAAATTCTTCAATTTCCTGGTTGACCCATTCATTCTTTAGTAGGACGCTCTTTAGCCTCCATGTATTTGAGTTCTTTCTGACTTTCCTTTTGTGAGTGAGTTCTAGTTTCAAAGCATTGTGGTCTGAAAATATGCAGGGAATGATCCCAATCTTTTGGTACCAGTTGAGACCTGATCTGTGACCTAGGATGTGATCTATTCTGGAGAATGTTGCATGGGCACTGGGTGTTATACAAAAACAATGAATCGTGGATCACCACATCAAAAACTAATGATGTATTGTATGGTGACTAACATAACATATTAAAATAAAATTTTTAAAAAATTAAAAAAAAAACTTAAAAGCACACACAAATTTTTGAATTAAATTAACTGTCTTTTGTGGGCACAGGTCATTGGGCCACAAAACAATTACAATAGTAACGTCAAAAATCCCTGATCATAAATCACCATAACAAATACAATAATGAAAATTTTTGAAATATTGCCAAAGTTACCAAATGTGACACAGTCACAAAATCACCAAATGCTGTCGGAAAAACCATATAGACTTGCTTCACAGAGATTTGCCAAAAACCTTCAATTTTTCAAACAAACAAACAAAAACATATCTGACAAGAACACTTAAGTGAAGAGTAATAAAATGAGGTATTCTTGTACAAATAATGAGGTTAAATAAGTAATCAAAAATCTACCAACATATGGATTGTAGAAATGTTCATCTCATGGATATGTGTAAATACAATAGGATGTCATTGTAAAATGACTCATTGCCATAGAACTTGATAAATGTTCTAAATCACATCCTTCCCCTTAAAACAGAATGCAGGCTAACGGACATTTCAGGTCCTATTTGTTTATGAGGCGGTTGTTAGTTCTCACCCCTGTTCCCAGAGTTAATCCAAGTAGGTTCATTTACATATTCTAAAGGAAGAAGTGCATTAGCACAGTGTGTGTGCATACAAATTCCATTATGTTTGTACAGTAAAATCCAATGAATCATTGATTCTCTTGAGAAAAAAAGAGTATATTATGTCTGATGAGCACATTTGGTGACTTCAGAGTATTCTATTTAGAATCTGTCTCTGATTTCAAGGAAAGGACTGTTTGAAAGTGATCAGAGGAGGAGCACCTGGGTGGCTCAGTCGTTAAACATCTGCCTTCAGCTCAGGTCATGATCCCAGGGTTCTGGGATTGAGCCCCGCATCGGGCTCCCTTCTCGTCGGGAAGCCTGCTTCTCCCTCTCCCACTCCCCCTGTTTGTGTTCCTGCTCTAGCGATCTCTTTCTCTGTCGAATAAATAAATAAAATCTTAAAAAAAAAAATCTACCAACATAGAGAAACTCAGGACCTTATGGCTTCAGTATTGAATTCTAAGAAACATTAAAGGAAGAATTAACACCAATATTTAAACTCTTCCAGAAAATTAAAGGGAAAACTTCTAAACTCATTTGAATGCTCAGAATTATCCTGATACAAATAATAATAACAATAATAATAATAATAATAAAGAAAAGAAATGACAGGCAATATCCCTAATGAACACAGATCAACAAAATACGTAGCAAAGTGAATTAAATAGCAAATTAAAAGGATCATACACGATGACAAAGAAGGATTTATCTTCAGAATGCAAGTATTATTCAACATAAGGAAATTGATTTATAAACCCCACATTGATTGAAAAATAAAAATCATATGAGCATTTCAATAGTTGTAGAAAACATATTTGACAAAATTCAACATCCTTTCATGATTTAAAAAAAATAACTCATGAAACTAGGTATAAAAGGAATTTATGTCAGCACAATAAAGGCCATATATTAAAAGCATCTAAATTGTTGACTTTACTATAAACTGGTTAACTGAACATAATAAAAAAAAATTAAATTCAGGGCGCCTGGGTGGCTCAGTTGGTTAAGCGACTGCCTTCGGCTCAGGTCATGATCCTGGAGTCCCGGGATCGAGTCCCGCATCGGGCTCCCTGCTCGGCAGGGAGTCTGCTTCTCCCTCTCCCACTCCCCGTTTGTGTTCCCTCTCTCGCTGTGTCTTTCTCTGTCAAATAAATAAATAAAATCTTAAAAAAAAAAAATTAAATTCAAATGCAAGCAGCTTACACCCTAAAAAAATAAAAATAAAAAATAAGTTGTTGAATTTATAGGCATTGACTTATTTGTTGTATTCTTATTTTTTAATTTTTATAAAATCAGTAATAATGTCTGCTTTTTTATTCCTGATATTGGTGATACTTGATTTCTCATTTCTTTTGCTTGCTCAGTCTGGTTAAAGGTTTTCAATTTTATTGACTTTTGTAAATAACCAGCAAAATTAATTTGCTGATTTAATTGATTTTCTGTCCTTTTTTCTGTTTTCATCCATTTCTACTGTAGTATAATTTTTCCTTTCTTTTTCTTGCTTTAGAGTAAATTCGTTTTTTTTGTTTTTTTTTTTTAAAGATTTTATTTATTTGCGAGAGAGAGAATGAGAGACAGAGAGCATGAGAGGGAGGAGGGTCAGAGGGAGAAGCAGACTCCCTGCCGAGCAGGGAGCCCGATGCGGGACCCGATCCCGGGACTCCAGGATCATGACCCGAGCCGAAGGCAGTCGCTTAACCAACTGAGCCACCCAGGCGCCCTAGAGTAAATTCGTTTTTATTTGTCTAGTTTCTTAACATGGAAATTTACAATACTTGGGATTGTACTTTTTTTCTTCTTTCCCCTTTTTTTCCCTAACATAAGTACTTTATGCTATAAATTTCCCTCTAAGCAATACTTTTGCAGCATCCCATAGGGTTTTTTTAATTGTGGTAAGAACACTTAACAGGAGATCTACTCTCATAACAAATTTTTGAATGTACAATCAAGTACTGTTAAATATACTGTTAAATCTTCTTTCATACAGAAGACCTGAAGAACTTGTTCATCTTGCATAATTAAAATGTTATATCCATTGAACAGTAACTCTTAATTCCTCCTTCTCCCCAGCCACTGGCAAACATTTTACATTCTTCTGAGTTTGATGAGAGGTTGTGATCAAGGAAGGTAATGCCTGAGGCCCATGGGCATCAGTCATAATTTGAATAGAAATATATTTACATAGGATGTTTCTTTCAGAATTATTTATTAATCTGTTCATAAAGGTTTTATGCATTTTTAATTATACACAATATAGTTTAAATAAGTTTGTTCTGTATGATTTCAAACATATTTTTTTT